CACAGAATGGCATATCTACCCTGAAAGTCACGATACAGAACAGATGGGTTGACCCAGTGAACTCTCTTGCACTGTTCCTTTATACCCATTCATACCCACCCACCCGTTCACTCCAATTTGTGAATATCACCGATGCTTCTTATCATCTTCCATCATATAGTCTTGCCTTTCCATGTTATATAAATTGAGTCATACAGAATATAGACCTTGTTTATGGCTTCTTTAACTTAGAAATATGCATTTAATATTCATGATAACTTACATAAATCAATTATTTGTTCTCTTTCATTGCTCATTTGGATCCCATTACATGCATACATGCATAGTTTGTCTATCCATTCATTGGGTGAGCGCTATCATGGCTGTTTCCAGGTTTTGGTAAACATAAATAAAGCTGTTATAAGCATTCAGAACTCTCAAAGTGCACAGCTAAGAGATACTCTGATAAATGAATAATTTTGTTGCAAGAATTTGCTGAACTAAAAACTCAGTATTTGGAAAGAAGGAAACAATATCAGAGAGCTTCATTGATATCTAAAGCTACAATTAGAAAGAGAGAACTGGGATTGGAAGTGACAGTTTCTTCGAGACACTGGCAATACAGTGGCTATACAGGCTGTGTAAGTGGCTATACAGGCCAACCTAGGCTCTAAATGTGCAGTGACAGGGATTATTGCTTGTGATCACAAATTTTCAAATCTTTTGTTTTCTTCAGTTCCGGCATTCCCAGCTGCATCCTGTTGCTAAGTGAGTGACTCTGAATATCTGAGGTTCAGTGCTTTAACATGGTGCACGGCGTTTATTATGAAAGTCATTTATGAAATAATGGCCAATGTTCACCAGCACAGTAAGTTCTACGAGCATCTAGAAATCAGAAGTCTGCTTAATTAATGCATGTTTCCCCAGGTGTATATCAGTTGAGAAAACTGTATTGTATCTGAGTGAATAAACACATGAGCAGCAGCAGTTACTGAAATGAGAACACAAAGAACTGTGCAGTCTTAGATCCAAAGTTAGATGAGCCCATCAGAGTTCCAACTCTTCATAAATGAGAAAAACTGAAAAAACTGCTATGTACATGTCACAAATAATTTGCAAATACATTATTCTAGAAATCTTATCTGACTATGGTTTTCCTCAAAACTCTATTTCATAAACTTGTGTTAGAATAGGACTTGAGATGCTACTCAAGCATTTCAGAAGAAGTATAGTTACCGTGGCTTTGTCTGAGGTGGAATAGAAAAAAAAAATGACAGGATATAACATTTAGAAATGATCTATCTTTGGATATGAAGAACTATTAGGGTTAATTTTTTAGATTGATAATTTAATGAAATGTAGGGATATTGGCAGTGAAAGGATAATTGCAAGGCATTAAAATTGTGGAGAAACAAGCTTCTGAAATACTTAAATCTGAAATGAAGAGTCCTGTGATAATTTCCCCCTCTGACACTCAGCAAAGAGATAATCAGTAGTCTGTGTTTTTCTTTCTCCTTACCTGCCTCTAAAAATATCGCAGGTTTTCTCATCACAACTGTATTTCACAGGAAGGGTGTGAAGATAAGTGAGTTGCCATCTGTGAAACACTTTAATATCAGGGGTGCTATACTTAAAGATAGTGAGAAAGTAGAAAGAAAATAGGTGACAACTTGCTGAAAAATCTGTCATTGTCCATTTACGGTTAACTTCAGGGTGGCTCCTGATAAAACCTTCACCCAAAGGCATGTGGGTCTATTTGCACAAAGTAGTACGCTGAGTATTGTATAAAGCACACTAAACACCTTTTAAGTCACTCTTTCAAAATAGCAACGGTCTCAGGGAGGAACATACACAAGGCTATGCTGCTACGTTGACATATCTTAGACAGCTGAGAGAAAAAAATATGCAGGGTAAAATAAACTTCCCATTACAAAAGCAACAAAGAAAAACACAAATTCAACTTTTCTACATGTACTGCAAATTTAACAGGTCCAACACCGTTTTTGCTTGTTCCCTAAGGTGCATATCTTCAAGAATGACTGCACTCACCGTTCAGTCTTCCAAGTTAAAATGGAAGACTAAGCCATGACTCCTTTTCCTTGCTTTGATTTACCAGCCACTAAATCCTGGCATGTTTCCCTCTAAGTCCTCACAAGAGATACTGCTATACTCCTTTACAATTTCTAACAACTCTATAATCTATTCCCTAACTGACATTTTTGCCTTTAACCTTATCTAATCCTCTGTATTAGTCATAGTTCTCCAGAGAACTAGAACTAATAGAATATAAATGCATATAAAAGGTATATTATGAGGAGCTGGCTCATATGATCATGGAGGCTGAAAAATCTGCTATCAGAGAACCAGGAAAGCCAGAGGTGTCTTTCGGTCTGAGTGTGACAGCCTGAGAACCAGGGGAGCCCATGATGTAAATCGCAGCTGAAGAACCAGAGAAGAAAAGATAGGATGTCCTATGGGTGTCAGTGTGTGTGTGGCAGGTCTCTTGGAGACAGCATACTATCGGGCCTTAATATTTTATCCAGTGTCCCACCCTGTGCCTTTTAAATGGGGGCATTTAGCTCATTTACATTCAAGGCTAGTACTGATATGTGGGTGACAAAGTAATCTGTACAACAAACCCCTGTGGACCTGAGTTTACCTACATAACAAACCTGCACGTGTACCCTCCAACCTAAAATAAAAGTTAGAAAAAAGAAATGAGATGTCCCAGTTCAAGCAGTGATGCAGGGAAAAAAAACATACGTTTTCCTTTATTCCACCTTTTGTTTTCCTCAGGTTTTTAACGGATCCGACGATGCCCAGCCATGCAGGGGAGAGCCACCTCTCTCACAGAGTTTACTAACATAAATGCTATTCTTGTCCAGAAACACTCTCACAGATGTACCAAGAGGCAAGGTTTAATCTGGGTTCTCTGTGGCCCACTCACCATTGACACACCATTAACTATCACACCCCCCAAATTTACAACTCAGCCTAATAACTGTTGCCAGAATTCTCCTGGCCCACACATGTGTGCACTTGCACGCTGTTAAAAGATAAACTTTACCCAAACTAAATTTAAAAGAGGTTAATTGAGCAAAGAACGATTCATGAATCAGACAGCCTCCTGAACCACAGTAGGCTCAGAGACTCCAGTGCAGCCATATGTAGGAAGAACATTTATGGACAGAAAATGGAAAGTGACACACAGAAAACAGAAGTGAGGTACAGAAACAGCCAGATTGTCTGTTTGCCTTATTTGAACATGGTTTGAACAATTCACCACCTTTGATTAGAAAAAACTCAGTGATTGGCACAAGAATCGGCTACAGTCTGTTTACAAGTCCGTTTAGGTCACCGTCACAATGTACACAGAAACATTTACGCTGAACTTAAAATATGTGAGCAGGCAGCTTTAAACTCGATTAAACAACACACATATACACACACCATCCCTGATGCCCACAAAATGACTCTGCTGATGCTTTTATCCAATATAATCAAATTTGGGAATCCTAGTATTGCAGTCCAACCTATTTGATCTTCTTGATTTGTCTCTGAAGCTTGATCTCTTACCGCTCTCCTACTGTGGGCTAAATTCAAGTGATAATGAGGAATTTGCATTTCCCAAATAGATCATGCTTTACTGACATTACAGTCTTTGAGCTGCCTTTTCTTCTGTCGGTAATACTATTTTCCTATTAGTATTACAGCATTAAAAAGTCCTCATCCTTGTGGGGTTAGGACATTATCTTTTTTGTAAAGTTTCTCAGGACTAAGATTTCCCTCTTTTTTTCCTGCATCTTTCTTTGCCACTTCACTTTTGCACTATATTGCAGTTATTTATTCATCTGTGTGTGTATGTATGCGCTTATGTTTTTATTTTCCTGCTTTGCCCACTATGAATTCTTTAAAAGAATGGTAGTGCCTCGCATTTCTGTACCCCTGGAGCCCATCACAGGTCCTGGCACATAATTTACATTCAATAAATGTTTAAGAAAGGATGAAAGAGGAGGAAAAAGCACAAGGAAAAGAGTAAGGAAAATCAAGGAAGGGAGGTAAGGAAGGCAGGAGAAGTATTTCCTTTATGATAATGACACTTGAAATTCAAATATATTTTCCCTAGGAAACCCTATTATGGTAGCCCCAAATGGGAATTAGATTGTATACCAATTTCTTTGGTGCATACCTGATTTGTAATTTTCATGAGGAAATGTAACACATGAAAGCAGCCCTTCCTTATAAAAAGGAAACTGTATGTGACACGCAAGGCCCAAGATCTGGATTAATCATTGATTGGAAATTTAAGATTGGTAAGATGATGTAAAGAGCCTTGAGATAAATTATTAGGATAGTACACACAAGGATGTTTCATGTTCACCAGAAACCATATTTCCTATTTATTGTAACATTTAATCATGTGTTTTGTTGTTACATTTGGAAATAAACTTTTGCCTAACATGATAAATTGATGAACCAATCACACAGCTATCCTCTAGGGCTTTGTGGGTTTTGCAAGACAGAATATACTTACTTCTCAAATCTGAAGCATATAAAACATAAATAAATATATTTATTTAGAGCCACATTTAGTTTCCCTTATCATGACTGATCTTGGTTCCCTGATAGAGGATTCTATTTAAAGTACACAAAGTATGGAATTAAAAGACCTTAATGTTGATCATTATAACCAGTATTTGAACATGATTTTCAGTAATTATGTCCTTTTTCAGTCCTAGGATATCTTAAGCTAGACAACAATCTAGCATACAAAATATATAATTTTTAAATTAATACTATTGTGTTTCTCACAATATAAGATAGTGCTTGAAATTCTTCTAGCCAGTTCCAAAAGTAATTCTGGATGAAAATTATATGGAAAAAAGAGAAAGTCCTTCACCCATGTCACAGGTTGTAGTATTTCGGATGTCAGCTCCTGCCATCACTTTTACTTCCGAGAATTTAAGAACGTAGCTAGCTGACTAAAGCAATCATTACATTATTAAGTGAAATTTGCTCACCTGATTATGGAGGCTGAGAAGTCCCACAATCAACTGTCTGCAAGCCGAAAATACAGGAAAGATGGAGGTATCAAGTCAGTCTCATTCCAAGAGCCTGAAAAGCAGAGAAGCCAATGGTGTGAGTCCAAACACAGGCAAAGACCAATGTCCCAGCTCTCAATAGTCAGACAGGAAGCAAAAACAGTGAGTTTCTCCTTCTTCGACCTCTTGTTCTATTCAGGCCCTCATGGATGGATAATGTCATCAGTGGTGCTGAGTACACCAATTCAAATGCCAATGTCATCCAGAAACACCCTCACAGGCATATCCTGAAATAATGTTTGGTCAAATCTCTGGGCAGTCCATGATCTAGTCACACTGACACATAAAATGAACCATCACGGCTATGAAGTCTCCATATAAAGTTACTATATTGTGTCTCCCATGTCTGTTATAAAAAGCAGTAAAGAATATAAAAATTATAAGTGAAATTTGCACACCTCTTTCAGGACTATTGAAAGGAACATCATCTTATATCAATGAGTAGCAAGTATTATGGTGAATCACTCAGGAATTGAGGTGATTCACAAAGGAGACCCCTTGGTATTCCCTTGTCCAATAATCATGGCAAATTGACTATAGCAGCAGCCATGGCCAGAGAAAGCTTTGGTGATAGTGGCTCATTCCACCAGGCAAGCCACATAGACCAACAGAGGGGCAGCTGAGGATGATGAGAATTTAAAATAGGCAAGAGAGGAAGCCAGGAGATAAGTGGTGGGTTGTAAGCTGCAAGCAATAAGAGCTATAGTTTATCCAACTAACATTCCTCTTTATAGGTTGCCCGGGAAGAGAGACAAGCTATAATCTTGGGGGATCTGTTCTCAGATGGGGTGAATATCCTAAACAAGTGGAATCCAACGTGCAGAAGGTGAACTGTAGGAGTTGCTTTGGTGGCCTCCAGGAGACCCACCATGTTTAGGGCTGAGGCACTTCTGTCATTTCTCTCAGTCTGACTCCTCCTTAGGAGCTGTCCTCAGCTGAAGGATGCTTTCTCACACAGGTTCCTCACCTTTTCTGTGTGGTGGGAAAGCAGAGATCTGGAGAGACCCATGGGGCTGCAGGAGGATTTTTTGTAACATGATCATGGGCTCAGTGAAATCGTTTCCTGATTCTGAGCAAAGGACAAAGGAATGGGTTGCCTTTTATGCACCTGTGGTACAGGTTGATGCAGCAAGAAGTAGTTTGACAGAAGCCAGAACAAAGCAGTTAATTAACTTGTGACATGTCTTGTGATGTACTTTACATTTGAAAAGGAACATTTTGAGAAACATATTTTACAGTTTTTAGTTTATCTGCTCTGTGACCTCACAGCTGGTCAGCAAGAAAAACAGGGATTTCTAGATGGCTGGGAACTTTGCTGAAAACGTGGAGAGGATAGATAAGGTTAAATGGTTTACCTTTTAAGGCAATTAATATTCTGCCTTAAACAGAGCTGGGGAGGTATCATATTAAACAGCACACGACACAGCAAAATTTACTTTATGATATAGCAACTACAAATTATAAGGTTTTGTTTTACTATTATTGCTATTATTTAATTCCCTTCTTCATCTGAAAGCAACTAACATTTAGTGAGTGGCTGATCAATGTGGCAATCCAAAGTCCAGCCCCCTCACCTCAATTTGGGAAATATTTGAAGGCTTAGTCCAGCTCACATGTCAGCAGGGGAACTGTGTGAGTCCCTATTGAGACTGTGGCAGCAAAAGTTCTCCTTCTGCTCACTCTGTTCTCTTCACCTTCCAATAAGCCATCTGCACGCAGGTCTTTAACTTAGAGTCCATTTCCTGGGGAGCCCGACCTGCACAAGGAAGTGGAAGTTGTTACTGACTGCGACATGCACAATGACGAAGGAAGCATTCTGTGTGTTCTCTCCAGGGACAAAAATAGGGAAGGAATATTGGCAAGAACAACTTTGACTACAAATTTTGGTGCTTCGTAGTAAGGTTCAACTTCGGGTGCAACCCAGAAGAGGAAAACACTTTTTAAGCTCACCAACTTAATCAGAGAAAAAACTAGAACCGAAGAACCAGTTTACCTGACATTGGGAAAATTATCTCTGTACTTTTTCCCTTGAGTAGCGGTTCTTTTTTTTTTTTTTTTTTTTTTTTTTTTTTTTTTTTTTTTTTTATTGAGACGGAGTTTCACTCCTGTTACTCAGGCTGGGGTGCAATGGCATGATCTCGGCTCACCACAACCTCCGCCTCCTGGGTTCAGGCAATTCTCCTGCCTCAGCCTCCCCAGTAGCTGGGACTACAGGTGCGCGCCACCATGCCCAGCTAATTTTTGCATTTTTAGTAGAGACGGGGTTTCACCATGTTGACCAGGATGGTCTCCATCTCTTGACCTTGTGATCCACCCTCCTCGGTCTACCAAAGTGCTGGGATTACAGGCCTGAGCCACCACGCCCAGCCGAGTAGTGGTTCTTAAATCCAACTCTGCTTTGGGATCATAAATCAGAATTTTTGTTTGGTTTTATTGTTATTGTTCTGTTTTAATAAAGATTCCCAGACCCAAACCAAACTTTCTAAATCAGAATCTGTCATGGGAACTTCCATTAAAATCTATATTTTTAAAAGCCACACAAACAATTGTGATGAATGGATCACTCTGGAAATTGTGACTTAGGGAACCTTTACCAAGGGAGTGGTATTAGTCTGCTGAGACTGCCATGAAATAGTATCACAAATTGGGTGGCTGAAACAACAGAAATTTAGTGTGTCCCAGTTCTGAAGGCTGAAACCCAAGGTTAAGGTGTTAACAGGGTTGGTTGTCTTGAGGGCTATGAGGAAAGGATCGGTTCCATGCCTTTCCCCTGGCCTCCGGGGGTCTTCATGTATGTCTCGGTCCAAATTTCCCCTTTTTATAAGGATAGTGATTATATTCCATTAGAGGCTCCCTCTATTCCATGAAGTATACTTTTCTCTTAACTAATTACATCTGCAACCACCCTGTTCCCAAATGAGATTACATTCTAAGGTATTGTAGGTTAGGATTCAACACATGAATTTTGGGGAGATACAATTCAATCTATCCCAGAAGTCTATGATTACAACTATTGTTCAATTTGATCTTTTAAAAAGAAAACCAGTGGAAAACAAAGAAGGTAAGCTAAGGAAGAGGGAACTGGTGGAGACAACGATTTTCTCACTTGCACCTGGCCTCTGCTCCCACGCCGTAGGCATATCAGTATTAGGATATGGGGGGGAGGGTTGTGCTCCATCTCAGCCTTGCTGGATTTAGTTCTGCTCTCCCACAGCTTAGCAGGTGCTCTTCACCCCTGTTAATTTTTGTGTCCCTCTCCATTGTTATGGCCAATGCCATCAAAATGGGTCCTCACTGTTAAATTAGGCTCCCAAAGGGAAAGATCTTGTCACTTGGATTGCTTACATTATGCTTACAACTTTAATGATTTTGATTTTGCAATGTAATCATTATTTTTATTATGATTTTGCTCACCACTTGAGCTTTCCACAACTAACATAAGCACACATTTACTGATGGCCCGGTAAAACATGGTGCACCAAGTAGTACAAAAATAGGATATAATATTTCATCTTAATCTAATTGCAATGGTTTTACTAACCAAAGCAAAAGCTTCGGACCAATAAATAAGTGTGCAGTCACAGAACTGATGTAAGTAATCATTAAGGTCACATACCATTACTTTAAATAGCTCTTGGATTTTTTTTTCTGCTAGTTTTCTAGACTGTTATTCTGAATGTCACATCAGATAAGATAAATTTTCATTGCCTCCTGGATATGGTCTAATAAAAGGATATGGTATCATTTTGGGAACATAATCAATACACTGACATTTTCCAAGAGCGATGTTTCATAGAGATTTAAGACCTAAATAAACAAACAAATCCTAGCATGTGGTAGCACCTCTACAATTTAAGAATACTTTTCTAAAATTTCCCCAAAGAGTTAATTTTAATGAGTGGCGTACTAGAAAGTTAAGCACTACTGAAGACCTTTCTAAGATTGTGTGAAAGAAAGACTGTGGCTTATTTTCTCAGTCCTTGGAGACAAATAGCCAAATTGTGTTAAAAGAAAAAAAAAAAGGTTAAACTAAAGGAGAATTTAAAAAACAAGCTTTGTTTGCTCTATTAATAGTAAGTTTCTTAAGGAAATTTTATATTCTTTACACAGATAGAAGTCAGACTGGCAAACATCACTGTAAACTTCCTAAAAAATACACATTCTCAACATTTTATCTCAACATTGCAATACATCTTTCCCATCCTGCAGATGAAAGGTAAAGCAATCTCTTGTGGGACTTGTCTGTTGGGTCTTCAACTTGAACAGTGCAGCTTGCCTACACACTCTCAGGGCAGAGCTTGTTCTGTTACCTAATTCTTCAAAATTAGGGCACAGTGGTAAGAGGTAAGAAGTCAAACCTAATTATGTTTTCTGACAGCTAGAGTCACCCACCTCCCGGGACCGCTTCTTAAAGGGAACTTTGAGGGTAGGAGGAATAACAAGTTTCAGAAACCAATGCAACAACCATGAAGTTTCCCATTTTATCACCATCCCATCCCTTCTCAATGGATTCCTCTTCTTCCATAAAAATCCAGCACATGGAATCCTCTAATCAAAGGCAAAAAAACATAATGAAACTAAGTAGTACTATTTGCTTTCGTTCTGTACTTGACAAGACAACTGGATGTAATCTTGTATCAGAGGATGCAAAGTAAACTTGCTTCATCCGCTCAGGTTTTTGGGGATAGTAACTTTTTGTCATTGCACAGTACAATTTTTGGGCTTTTGTTTCACATTTACAAATTTCTCCAGAGTGTGAATTCCCAGGGTGTCAGAATAACTGACTTTCTTGTCTGCAGAATCTATTGGCTTTTAAATCTTTTAAATAATTTCACCTGGTGCCTTGAAAAATCCTTCCAGAAGTCTTCCATATCCATTTAGTGAGTTCTGGTCATGGTTATTCGGTGTGGGTGCAGAGTATGCAGGAAGGAAGTGGTAGGTGACGAACTGTGTATTCCCATCACATGCAGATATATGACATAGGCTGAGAAGTGTTTAGGGAAGACTTACAAAATTGCGGGACTATATAAGCGCATAAGCCCTAATTGAGCAGCCAGTAATAGTATGAGAATAGAAGCTGACAAAGCAACTTTTCTTGCAGGAAATTTTACAGCTTCCTTTAAATTTATTCCAGGAATTATTGGACCCTACTCCCTGAACCAAGGACCCACTCTGGGCACTCGCAGAAGCCTTGCTTCTTCACCATCCTCACCTCCTAGGAGCTCTCAGAGCACAGAATCACAGGGTGACACTTACGGGATCAAGAGTCTTCTGCTGGAGGGATTTGGACTTGGCATCTTCGTCAATATTGGCAAAGGCTTTCTGGGTCTGGCTTGTGGATATTCCTGTGAGCTAGACAACTGCACATTTCTACAAAAAATAAGAGAATAGTAAATTAATATCTTTGAATGAAACTCTCACAAGCATTGCTGAAATGGAAGTCAAAGTCATACTAAAGTCACTGGGTATAGAGGCCATATCATGAGGAGAAGCAGGTTGGGAATTACTGGGCAAAAAGTAAACAGACAGGAACAGCTGCTCCTGCTTTCCAGGGCCTTCTCTGAATAAGTGGTGGCTATACTATTCCTTTGGCAAACAGGTGGATTAACTAAGTAAAAATCAATCAAATGAATAATATAATGAGGTAAATTAATGCTATTCTTTAAAAATGGTATGAAAGAATATTCCATGTAACTATAACATATTTTTATTCTGCACTAAATTTATCTTTATAAATAAATGTAACTATAACTAACATATGTTTTTATTATGCACTAAATTTATCTTTGCTTCTTGTATTGACTTTTCTTCAGTTTATTTTATAGATCAAATGTCCTCTCTGGGCCCAGCTACTTTTTAGTATCTTATTGATATTCCTTATTGACATACAGAAGTGATAAACGTAGTCCGAAAATAAAAGCCCAACTTATGTCTTTTTGTCCTTTTTCTTTTTTTTTTTTTTGTGACAAGGTCTTACTCTGCCATCCAGGCTAGAGTGCAATGGTGCAATCATGGCTCACTGAAAACTCTGTCTCCCTGGTTCAAATGATTCTCATACCTGTTTCCCAAGTAGCTGTGATTATAGGCATGTGCCACCATGCCCAGTTAATTTTTGTATTTTTAGTAGAGACAAGGTTTTGTTACATTGGCCAGGATGGTCTCAAGTTCCTGACCTCAAGTGATCTGCCCCGCCTCAGATCTGCCTGCCTGGGATTACAGGCATGAGCCCCCATGCCCAGCACCAGCTTGTCCCTTAAACAAGTTCTTCAACCTGTTAGTTAATATTCTTTTCCCCAAGTTGGAAAAAAAATACATAGCAACCTGGGTTTATGGATCTGAATTTTGGTAGGGTGCCAATGAGAGTGTATATTCTCTCTTGAGTCCACACTGGTTACAATAACTTCTGAAAACACTCAGACATTAAGCAGGGAAAGGGCAACCTGGTTTTTCACCCTTAGCACTTTGGATGCAGATTTCACTATCTCTGAAGTCACGTAACATTTGTCCATGTTTCCCTGTGGTCTTAAATGTTTGAGACAGTTATTTTGATAATCAGAGGCAAAACCCAAGGAATCTAAGCAGGGCAGAGCTACCTTACGATACCGACGGTAGCAGCACTGATTTTTTCCAGGAATAATTCCACACCACATTGCAGCTTTCATACTGGGAGGCCTCCTTGAGAGGTTACTTTATTTCACCTACATTCAACTGTACTGGTCACCTCCATTCAATTTTCTGTAGCTATTGGCTGGACATTTACTAAATATCACAAATGGGGTGGGAACTGTGAAGCTGAGATAAAAGGGTCAGTTCTATTGTCAAAAACTTCAGAATCTGGAGGAGAAAGGAAAATAACCTAACAATTAGAAAATGCCAAGTGCTGTAGCGAAGTAACTACAGGGTGCTTAACAGAGGCACACCTGCCCCATACTGAGGAGAAGGGTTAACGGAAGACTTAGCCATGACTAAGCCTTGGAGAACGCATAGGAAGTAGTCTTGAGAAGAAGGAAGATAAGCATTCCAATCAGAGAGCTCAACAAGAAAATATAACGTGGAGACACGTGGAGAGTTTTGTATACCGGGAATCTGTAAGTATATTGATATAATTAAACCATATGGAATGGAGGCATGGATGGAGCAACAAATAATCCTGGAGCGATGGGCAAGGATCAGATGATGGTCAGATGACTTCGAGGCCAAGAGATTCACAGTTTAGTACAGGCGATGGGGAACTCAGAATATTTTTTTATAAAGCCAGTAAAATTATATTGACAGATGTGCATTTTAAGTGAATCAAGCTATGGCACTGGGCGAAAGAATCTTGATGGACAAGACAGTTTGGAGGACAACGGGAAGCTGATAAGCTAAAGAAGGTACTGTGTCAGTTTAGCAGAGAAGACAACCACATGTGAAAAAGAACTAAGGGAACATTTCCTGGTATCTTTCACTAAGGTATTTAAGGAAGAGAGGTGGTAAGACAGGGTTAAGATGGCATATCTCTTGAGAAGACTGTAATTTCTACATCAGACATGTTAAGCTGGAGATGCTACTTTAGTAGAGGTATCCAGTAGAGAAACAAAATCACATTCTTAGCAGAGCTATCAGAGTAGGATTTTTATTACATTGAGTGAATATCTGAGAAGAAACTGAACGGTGTCAGAGATGTAAGAGGAAATTAGGGAGGTTTCAGGGTCTAAAGATGTGGTCAGCTATATCTAATGCATAAAGCAAAGCAAGATAATTAGTCAGATGAAAGAGGAGGGCTAGTCATACTCTTCAACTCCCATTTCATTAAACAAGTTGCCAAGAAAAATAGAAATTATGTAATCAAAAGGAAAATGTAACCACTGAACACAAAGTTTTGAGAAATTTTTGATGATATAAATAAGTGGAATAATATCATTAAATGATTAAATGTAATCATATCCTACCTGTACTGCAATGTCCAACTGCAGATTTTCATGAGACTCTGATAAGCTAATTCAAAGATTAAATTGAAGACAAAAATTAAAGTAACCAAGAAATACTGGAAAATGATAATCTTGTATATACAAGATATACACATGCATATACTTATATATGATAAAAAGTAATGTCCTAATAGATTAAAGATGCAGAATAGTAGAACAAACTATAAGGTAATATTTTATGACCTTCTGAAGCAGTTAACACAAGTCTTACTACCAGAAAAGTACTGACAGATTACACAAAATTTTTAAAAATCATGCTCAACACAATATAACATTAAAATTATTTAAATCAACATAATGGGAGAGAGATTTGAAATACATTAAGGATTAAATGCCTTTAAGCTAAAAATCTCCTAGAAACCAATATAATAAGGCAAACCACGCTATAAAATATTAACAAAGATTATAAAAGAGAAAGCTACAGTAGCATATGGCCAGTAAATACATAGAAAGGTGAATGACTTAACTAATAAAGAAATAAGATATTTTTCACAATAAGATAGTCATACCAAAGAAGTGTGGTTCTGATGTAAGAATCTGGATGTGAGGCCGGGCGCGGTGGCTCAAGCCTGTAATCCCAGCACTTTGGGAGGCCGAGATGGGTGGATCACGAGGTCGAGAGATCGAGACCATCCCGGTCAACATGGTGAAACCCCGTCTCTACTTAAAATACAAAAAATTAGCTGGGCATGGTGGCGCATGCCTGTAATCCCAGCTACTCAGGAGGCTGAGGCAGGAGAATTGCCTGAACCCAGGAGGCGGAGGTTGCGGTGAGCCGAGATCGCGCCATTGCACTCCAGTCTGGGTAACAAGAGCGAAACTCCGTCTCAAAAAAAAAAAAGAATCTGGATGTGAATCCTCATTTGCTGTTGATGAGAAAAGATGAATGATTTTCGTAATGACTTGGAAATATTTCTAAATTTTTAAAATGCATTTGTCTATGACTCATCAACCCTATTAAAAATACTCATTGAAATATTGTTTAAAGACAAAAATGTTAACAACTTAAATGTTCATCATCAGCAAAGAGGCTATATGCATTATGGGGCATCCACAGCATAGCCATTAATAGAATGAAGTAGACCCCCCCCACACTGATGTGCCACCAGGGAGAGACCTGTAGGACATATTAAACATGTAAAGGGCAAGGAATGAAAAGCAATTTAATCTACCTATATCATGTATATACACATATAAATGTATAGCAAGAGGAATAGGAAGATACGCACTCAGGGATTGGCAGTTTTTAACTGGAAGATGGCAAGAAAATGAAGGGGGAATAACCCTGAATTATGTAGCATTTAATTGTTTCCATCTAGCATATAAAAACATCAATTATATTTGGTGAACTGATCCTTGAGTTTTAGTTTGGGACTTAGAAGCTCATGTGTGGTAGTTTGAAGAATGCAGAAGCAAGTAATTGGAGGAAATGAATGGAATACTCTTTCAGGAAGCTGATCTGTATAGGCCATAGTGACCAACAAGGACAGCAACTGGTAGACAGCATTGTTTTTTTAAAGCAACTCATTATAAGTTTCATGTGTGTTTGCTTAGCTTGGGTTTTAAGCAGAAAATGTAAGTAATCAAGAAGTGTTTATTATTACGTGCTGTGTATTAAACAATGAAAAATTTCTTTTTATTAAAACAAATGAAAACAGCATCAGAAAACAGAACTGCAGAAGTGAGATGAGGAGGTGGGGTCCCTTCTCATTGCCCTGCATCCATCTCCCCAGAACAACAGATTTCTATACAAAGTAACTTGGTTTAATGCTTGACTTTTAAATGCCTCATGTTTGTCTGACAGGCATTGTCAGTCTTCACTTTTAATTCTTATAGTAGTTTAAATGTCTCTATCTCAACTTCCTTTTCTCTGAGGTTAAACATTTTAACAGCAATGATTTCTCCATGAAGTGGGAAAGATGACCCAGCATAAAGGATGTTAGCTCTATTGAATGAACAGTTCCCGGAATCCTATATGTTGAGAAGTATATTGTGTTTATTAAATTCTCTCGAGATCCCTGATTATGCTCTTCCCTGCCCACAGTGTTTCTTGATATTTGATGTGAGCATTCAGAAGAAAAAGCAATTCAGTAATTAGACTACATAAAATTAAACTTATTTGGAAGAAGAGTAATCTAGTTGGGGCTGCATTTTTTGTTTTGTTTTGTTTTAATCCGGTTATTGGGAGATAGAACTTTTGAAGAATATAAATCAAAAGATAAGACCATATTTTCAAATGAACAAAATTAGAATTGAAATGTCAAGTATAGAGAGATATGAATGAGGAAAAGGTTTATATGTTGAGTTGAGGACTTAATATCACTAGTTTGTGAATATGTTTTCCAATCTATCATGCATTGTTTATGATTCCAATAGTTGTTAGGGGCACATATTATTCGA